TCTCTGAGTGACTAACCTAGAGAAACTGTAACATAAACAAATCTGGATAGATCCACACATTTTAACAGGATCACATCCCTCTTTGCGTTCCAAGAGATTCCTAAAATTAATTTTAAAATGTTTATTATGCTATGAAACTAATCATTATGATCAGGCTGAAAGGAACAAGGGAGTGAAACAAAACAACATGGATATTATTCAGGAAAAAACTAATCACTTTTAACATGTATCAACATACATTTAAAAATTTATTTGCTTATTTAGGCTGTGCCACCCATTCTGATTGGCATCCAACTCTTAGGGTCTCAGAGTTTGTAAAATAATATTAAAAGTAGATAAAGTGGAATTTTGACCGAAGACAGGTAAAGTGACACAGACATAATGCAGATGGGTATCTCCCTCTATAGTAAACACATTTCAAATTGAATTCTTGGCTGTTGCTTAATAAGTCCTGGAGATAATAGAAAAGGAAAAGAAGGGTGGGGGGGACACGGAGAAGCAATGGTTAACCAATCAGTTTGGCACAAGTAGATTTGTCCAATCTATTATATCATTCTAAGAGAAGACTTGCCCATGAATTTGGCACTGTTGCTTGATTTATAAGTTGCTTGGCGAAACAGCTGAGCATCTGAGTTAAGAAAGAGCCTGCCAAACATGCTGTGGTGACCTCCAGCTTAGATTACAGTACTTCGGGTTGGCCTGCCTTTAAAATCTAGCAGAAAACTTCCACCAGATCTTGATTGCTGTGGTCAGGCAGTTGACAAAAATAACTAAAGGGCCACGTTATCCCCAGTCTTTAAGAAAGTGTATTGATCCGTAACCGAGATTTTGGACGTTCTGAAATGGTTGCCTGAAGGAGCACATCTCATCTTTACAATCTCTAACTTGAAACATCTGTTTTCAAAATTCATAAAAAAACCACTAAAATATGGTGCGAGTTTAGCAAGAGAAGATATTTTGAAATCCCTTTCAGTTAAATGCCCTGCTATCATTTCGAGGGGGATAATTGTTTAGAAAAAATAGTCTCTCCTGTTCGTCTTCCTTCCTGAGTCCAGTTATCTTTGTACTGATGAAAAAAACTGCTTTCATGTGTCTCTTCTATTTATTATGCTTGATGGTACTTTTAATGTTGTTCTTTTAATGTGGTTGGGTTGTATCATTTTATAGACTTTGTTCATGAACCATTTAAGGGAGTATTGCTAAAAAGTAAGAATTCATACTTTGCTGAGAGTTTCAAAAAAATATGACTCCGCTGTTTCTGTTCATAATTCCAGGCAATCATGCCCCTTTTGTAGGAGGCTCCATTTCTGTCATTTACCTTTTGTCTCTCACCTCTTTTATAGTCAATGTTTCATGTTCAAAGTACGTCTAGTCATCAATGAGTTGATCTGCATTACTTCCCTTCTTCCCTAAATATATTTGCAGAAATGCCTTTGAGCTTAAGTTTACTAATGGTGTTTCTGGATTTATTTGTTTGTTTGTTTGTTTGTTTGTTTGCTTGCTTGTTTGTTTATAAGATTTATATGGAATCAACTCTATGGCTAGCAAAATTTTGACTAACCAGTCATTTTATTCAGAAGACAATCCCTGCAAAAATGTCCCCCTCCTTTCATCTTTAAAAGCAGCTGCCTTCCCATAACTACTTCCTTTTTCAATATTAATTTGACCAATTGTATTTTCTACATACCAACAGTCCACTCAATTAAAAACCCCAATATAAAAATAATAAAAACAATAACCCCCAAACCATCCCCGGTGACAAAAAGCAATGAAACAAGCCACTTGATGGGCTCCGTCCCACTCTGGATTCCCCAAAACCAGGTCTTCAGGGTCTTATGAAAGAATGTCAAAATGGGGGGCATTGATGACACTGCTTGGCTAAATAAAGATTCACAACCAGAGATTGGATTTACTGATAGAGAATAGTACTAACAGATTATTCAGTATTGGTTAATGTCAGAAAATAAATTAAATATTTTGTCTGATGAATGCTGCACTTGATCTTAACCAAAAGGCCAAGAAGTAACATTTTTATATACGCTCGAAAAAGAAACCTTTCAAGAGACATCCATTAGATGGTGCTCCAGCTGTAACTTCTGACAATTCTACACATCTATACCTACTGGGAATGAAATGGTTACCTTGTTAGATTTATAAATGGACATTATTAAGTTCACAAATTTAAAAGTAACAGTAATGCCTGTATGAGGCAATCTGAAATACTGTATGTTCATTTGCTGTCAAAAGTGACTGCAACCAAAAATGCATTTCAAAATATTTTCCTTCAAACTATTTACTTAGATTAGATTATTTCCCGCTGTCATATGAGCTAGGCAAGTTATTGTGAAAAGCGGGGGGGGGGGGTTGGGGGTTGGGGTTAGGTGGAGAAAAACAAGAAAAGAAAAACAATTATTGGTACCATGGTAACAGAATCAACAATACCAACATCAATAAACTCAACCAGCAAATTGGCATTTTGCTTTCAAAGCACTGTGAGCAATATCTCATGGCAATATTTTATTAGATTTTTCTCTCTAATAACACTGTATTATATATGCGTAGGAGAAATAGTACATCCAGAGTAAATATAAGCCAAAGGAAGATCTGAAAAGAAATGTGTAATTTAGATTTTTTTTTTAAAAAAAATTGCTTTTTCCCTATTTCATAAAACTGAGTAATTATATAGAACAGAGGTGAAAAGGAATGATAGAGAGAAACTTATAACAATAATATTTTACTTCCTCTCAGTAATATTCACTGAACCCTTGTGATTCTAAATGCAATTATTAAATGCAGTCATTTATTCCTTTATGTCCAGAATCCTTTATAGATTAGAGGTCATAGGCTACATAAAATAGCATAAGCACATTTTATATAAAAGTGGGGTTTAATTGCACTTGGAGTATTTAAATCAAATACTCCAGTTGGACAATCAAAATTGTCCAAAGTTACCAATTCTAGTCTTATTCTCAGTAAGGAATGCTATTATTATGACATGGATATAGCTAACACTGGTCACCTAGTTGATATCTTCTCTATCTTAATAAAAAATGTTATGTAAAAACCTCGAGTGATGGGATAGTACCAAAAATGTGACTGAATCATATGGATACTCATGAATGTATGAGAATAACTGTTCTATGAATTTCTCTTTAAATATATGGTTTAAACATATGTCTACTCAAATGTGTACATACAAAGTAATAAACATAAAAGCATGATTGATCTAAGAGTTCACAGCTACTCACAACATTCCCATCTCTAAGGCCTAGTGAAAAAGCCAGTTTTCAATGACTTTTTAAAACCCAGATTAGTGGCCATCCCAATCTCCTGGGGAATGCTATTGCATAGAAAAAGGGGCAACTGGAAAAAAAAACCTGTCTTCAGTCCTGAGGATGACATTACTTATTCACTGGAGTTTTTAAAGAAGAGATTGGACAACAATTTGTCTAAAATGTTATAGGCTTTCCTGCTTAAGCAGGGGGTTGGAGTAGAAGACCTCCAATGTGCCTTCCAACTCTGTTACTCTATTATTCTGGAATTGATGAGATCTTCAAAGGGAGAAATAAAGGACAAAAAAAATTAAAGTAAAAACTTTGCTTAGAAAAATAGAATGTTATGGGGAGTTACAGCAAATGGAATGTGTACAATATAGTTTTAGTTATATTTCCTTTTTTCCCCCTAATGTCATCCTTTCCATTGTCTTACTCTGTTTCTGTGTTCTGTAAACATTTACTCCAAAAGAGAACAGCATATTATATATTATATATGTTTTGAAACAATGTGGTTAAAGGATGGGAAAAGTTTTGGAAACTATTCAAAAGTACATTAAAAATAACTTTAGAAAATGTACACCTGCCTTATTGGAACTCTGTAGAAATCTCAAAATTTGATTTGTCTGTTTTGGCAAAATATCCCAAGATTATACAATGTGAATTATGAAACAAGGTTCACCGAGACTACATGTAAAATTTTGTGAGGGATTTAAGAAATTGAAACCAACTCTTTCCATGTTCTTTGTGAACTGAAGCTACCACTTAAGACTAAATCTGATCAAACAATTCTAGAAATTAATGGAGAGAGAAAGTTGGTGAACCATTGCAAACCAAGACAGTTATTTTGATTTTTCAGGGTCTTAAATTTTAATTTGCTGCATAATTCAAAGTATTCCTTAGTCAAGGAAAACTTAAACAAATTTTGCATCATCTTGCAGCAATAGTACAAATAACCATCAAGCCTTGAGAATAGAATACATCTGCTTAATATTTACATAATGAATTTCTGGTCTACATAACACGAGTTCCCACCTTGTCAGCTTCACCTCTTACCATTATTAAGTATACAGTGGATGAATGCAACTGATTTTTAGAAGCATTAAGACAAGCACATTTGGTTTATTTTCAAGTCACTGAATATTTCAAAAAGCCACTATTAATAATGCTGGAAGTCGGGCCTAATTAACATGCATTTTGTCCATTTTCTTTGTCATAAAAATATGTCATAAAAAATTTCAACGAATGACATTGGTTAAAATTCCTAGCTTGAATTAACTGACAATTATTTACTCTGTTGAAAGCTAATTCACTGCATTAACAAATTCCCTAAACATAGAGAAACTAGTTGCTATGCAACTATGGAATGTCCGGATTATGTTGAACAATATATGTGATATATTCTTAAAGTAATAATGAGCATCACTGCCATCATCACCCTGAAAAGAGATGCTATTGGCAATGGTGCTTTTGGTCACCTGAGGCTGAAGAAAAGTAAAAAAGCAAACTGTGGCCAGAAGTCTTTGGAAACCTGAAATACACTCCAGAAAGTTTTTGGGAGATCTTCTCTGGCCTTCTGGATTGGGAAGCCCATGAAAGCATCATTTTCCAAACTACTGTCTACTCGCAGATTGTTTTATCACACTATCAGACATAGTCTTACAAAGAAAACAATGCAAATGATGAAAATCATTCACTGTTTAAAATTGGTACTAAAATTATACTTACTTTTCCATAGCTCAGCAAGATGATTCTTACCAGGACAACGTTAATATGGGCACCTAAAGACTCATCATGATAGATTTCATTAACCTACAACAGAACATGAAAATATTCATGTAACATGACAATAGTTTGGATGAAGCCATTTGTTACAATCTTTTAATTCAAAATCTACTTAATAATAACATATTTACCTAACAATCAAATGCAACACTGTATTAAATTAAAACTGGAAATAAAATGCTAGCTGTGACATTTTGAAATATAGTTTTATTTCCCCAACACCAGAAAAGAACATGAAGGATTATTGCTAAGGCAGAAAAGAAAAAAGAACATTTGTTATGCTTAAATTATAATTTGTATTTACTTATTAGTTAAGAAAACTTTCCTAGTCAATTAGGGATGAAGTTATAAAACTATAAAAAAAGGTGATAATGATGTGTAAGACTCACCTGCCTCATAAGTGTATGGATTGTAAAGACATTGTACCTTGTCAAGTTTCTGAATAGCAATAGCACTTGGACTTATATACTGCTACATAGTGCTTTACAGCCCTTTCTAGGCAGTTTACAGAGACAGCCTATTCCCCCCAACAATCTGGGTCCTCTTTTTACCGACCTCGGAAGGATGGAAGGCTGAGTCAATCTTGAGCCGCTCAGAATCGAACTCCTGGAGTGAGCAGTGAAATAGCTTGCATTCTAACCACTGAGCCACCACGACTCTGTCGTCAATGGTATAAGAGCAGGGATACAACCATTCTTGCTTAGCACCAGCTTTCTTAGAAGACTCAGACTGAATGGGTGCCTTGCCTTTGACTGCCTTTGCCTCTCATCCTACAGTTTTTAGCATCATGTGCATACTATGAAATGTTTGAATAAACCTAGAAGTATGCTTTATCTTAGTGAACAAAGAGATAAACCATTCTGTGACTCTCTCGTGCTTTTGTTAACATAGCTGTGGGATGTGTTTGTTTGTTTATTACTTTTTAAGATGAAAATTAAGTATCTCTGAGAGTTGCCAAGCCTTCACAAATCCCTTCCTCACAAACAAGGCTCCATATTACAGTGGAAAATGATGTATACATTGATTGATTATGTGCCATCAAATCAGTGTCGGCTCTTATTGATCGCATAGATAGATTGTCTCTAAGACAGCCTATCCCTAACATGTCTTTTAGGTCTTCCAACGGTACATTAATCAATACTGTAAACTGGGTCCAACCAATTTGTGCTGATCATTTTCTTCTCCTCCTTTCGTCTTTTCTCACTATTACAGCCTTCTCTAGAGAGCTAGGTCTTTGCAAAATGCATCCAAGTAGATAAAATTCTCATTTGTACCTCAAATGAGAACTCTGGGTTGATTTGTTTGACAATCCATTGGTTTGTTTTTTTTGACTATATAAAGTATTATCAGAAGTCTTCTCTAACATCAAAATTCAAAAGCATAAATACTCTTCCTATCCAGATTCTTCAAAGTCTAACTTTCACTTCCATAGATTGTCACAGGGAATACCATAGCTTGCACTATTCTGATCTTTGTAGGTACAGACACATGATGACATCTGAATATATTTTCCAAGGACTTCATGATTGCCCAACCAAGCGATAGCTATGACCTGTGGCATATTTTTTGACTGCTTGCTTCCTTAATTGTTGATGGTTGATCCTAAAAAGGCAGAAGCTATCTACCTATTTGATTATCAGTTCTAAATATATACAAATAAACTTGAGTTCATGCAGTTGATCTTAATGATAATAACTCTGGCTGAGTGTGATGCAAACCAAACCATGGTTTGTAAATCACACCTTATAGCTTAGAGTGCTTTATGGCTTTAGAACCGGTGAATAAAATTGTGGTTTATTCAATAATAACAATAATAACTATTAAACTGATCATAATATTTGGAGCCATGCATAGCTAAATGCATGAAAATGAAGAAATGAATGGCAAGATTTTAAGTTTAATTTTATTTCAAGTAATTATTAGTTTTATTCACCCATTAGAAACCTTACAGGCAATTTACAAAAACGAAGCTTGATAGGGTAACTTACACAATTAAAATATTTCCCAATAGTTTCCAGAAGGATGGCTGTTTTAGAGTGGATTGTAACGAAGACAACAGTCTTCTGGCATGTTCAAGGCTCATAAAATTATAAACCTGGTTTCACATAGCTTGCTTCATTTCAGAAGTTATGTGTCTATGGAAATTCTCAGTCACCCAGGTCACGGTCGTCCCAAAGGTGCTTTTTAAGAGGCAACTGGACTTTCTGGTTTTTCTTTGAAGATGTTTCGCTTTTCATCCAAGAAACTCCTTCAGCTCTGACTGGATGGTGGGGAATGGAAGGATTTATATTCCTTGCAGACAGCTGGTCATTTGCATTCTTTTAGCGGGTTGTTAAAGTCACCTGGAGGTTTATCTATGTCTTCAGGGTCACCTGAGTGGTGCAAATTGGTGTGGAGCCTTCTTGGAACTGTTGAAGGGGCTGTGTTGTAGATTGGAGATAGATGATGAGAAGCAAAATGTCTTCAAAGAAAAACCAGAAAGCCCAGTTGCCTCTTGAAAAAGCATCTTTGGTTCAGAAGTTATACAGTTTCTGAGTCAAAAGGGGATCAGGCTGCGAGAGGCTGGGACAAATACCCATGAACTAGAATTTTCTACATCAGATTTGGAAAGAATTATCCTCACACAATTGCACATGCCCATTTCTATGAACAAACACAGAGTGGAGAGAGAAAGAAACTATAAACAGCAGGTCGGAGGGAAATGAAATTCAACCCCACCAAAAACATTGAGACAATGAAATGAAAGCATGAACTTTTCACAACAGCAGTACTGAGGACAGCAGTTTAGCAGGGCTCAGTTAAAAAAAAAAACACTATATTTAATAGTCACTTTAGATACTATGCTGGCAGTCGGGATAATAGACACGTAGCTGTTTTAGAAAATTAGATATTCTGCCAATCATTATTTATACTGGACAGAAAAGCATTGTTATGGCATTGGGAGAATAACATAGCTAATAAATAGGCTCATCACTTTGTAAAGCACGCTAAACAGATACAGCATCCGTCTCTGTTGGATTAGAAGAGAAATTTGTCCCAATTCCAACTATGAATATGCCTGTGGAAGTTATCCACAGGCTTATTCCCAATGGATGGATTACAGTTTTCTTTCTTTCTTTCTTTCTTTCTTTCTTTCTTTCTTTCTTTCTTTCTTTCTTTCTTTCTTTCTTTCTTTCTTTCTTTCCTTCCTTCCTTTTTCTCTTTCTTCCTTCTTTTGTTTTCTTTCTCCCTCCCTCCCTCTCCCTCCCTCCCTCCCTCCCTCTCTCTCTCCCCTACAGACAGGTTTGAAAAGAATGTCATTGATACCATTTCACTATAATCACAAAGGTGATGGTTGTGATCATCGTGATGATAGCGATTCCCCTCTACGTACAATTTGATTCTCTGCACGGCAGGAGCAACAATCTAGTTGAAAGAGTTGAGGTAAAGGGAGACACAGAAGAGTACTGTCTGAAACATTCCAGCTCCCAGTTGGTGGTTCAAATTATACAGTTAGGGACATCAATTCTGCAGGTCAAAGTTATGCAGTGTAAAAGCAACATTAGAGAATAGGGAATAAATCAGATAACAGGTAATAAGCTTTGAGGTAAAACTCAGTTCAAGGATACTGAAAAAATAGATAACAGTGTTTAAATAAATCATGCCGTAGTGCAAAATACAAATTAAACATAGTTTATGGTGTGTTGTAAATGCAAAAGTCTTGGAATTAACCTAAAAATATGGAGGGCTTCCATTAGATTGTCCTTGAATAACTTAGCGGTCTTAGATGTATGATATATGGCTACTAGATAAATTACTCTGGGTAAAAAGAAAAAGTCCATTCCCTGCTAGACTGAGAATAATATTATGTAACAAGAGTTTTTGTCCAGAAACAGTGAGAAATTTCTCCACAGGGATTCCAGAAGCAAACAAATTTACAATAAACAGAAATGATTGGGAAAATTCCTTTTCCCTTGCTTCGGCGCGCGCGCGTGTGTGTGTGTGTATGTGTGTGTGAAGGTTTGTGCTGAAGGTTTGTTCCAGTATTCACCATGCTCACTAATAATCTTTTGCATCCCTGTTCTTGAATCTGATGCCCCCTGGCTGTGTTAAACTGCAACTCAATACCACACATCATCTTTTCTAGAAGACTAATGCAACAGATCTCATTTCTCCTTTGGGTTCAATTTAGAAATCAGTAAATTTACAATAATTTTGCAAATATATGGTGTTCATTCCAATAGAACGATGTGCAGCTTGATGCCAGGTTAGAAAGATCAAGAAATAATGTTTGGCCATGAAATGTATTTGAATGAAAATTATAGTGTCCGCCCCTCTCCCTCCCTCTCTCCCTCCCTCCAAACCAAGGCATATGTTGGGAAAGGACTTAAGCAGGGAATTAGCCTTGAATCCTTGTACAGCCACAAGAGATGCACTGCTAACATCCCCTCCCCTGAACCTTATCTATCTGCTCCCAAAGGAAGGCAAGCAGTTTGGGGCAATTCCTGTATTATAGGCAAGATACAATAAAGTAGTTTGAATTTTACAAATGTGGATTGGGTTGCTTTCACCTGACATCAGGACATACAGACAATAATACTGAAGTACTTATATTTAAAGTGATTAGCTAATTTCAGGCTGCTGCAGAAGAATATTTTGATAGTTGTTTTAATGTGTGCTTTCCCAAGGGGAGCATAATTACCCTGTTGATTTAAACACCTTTAATACTTATTCAATCACTCCTGAGAATTAAGAAAGCTGCAATTCATTGGGGATGGCTGTGGATTTATAAACAGATAATCCTCAGTAGGTTTAGCAATCTACAACTCCCCAGATACCACAGAAGAAACATAATTGCAGTTAAAATGGGAGAGATAAGATTACATTATTGTCAGTGGTTCTGTGGGTGTGGCTTGGTGGGCGTGGCAGGAGAACGATACTGCAAAATCCCCATTCCCTTCCCACTCCTGGGGGAAGAATATTGCAAAATCTCCATTCCCACCCCACTCTGGGGCCAGCTAGAGGTGATATTTGCTGGTTCTCCGAAC